TTATTATTTCTATGTTTTCCTAAATACATTCACACTGGTATTGGAGTAATGGCCAAACTTATACAAATTAAGGAAAGTTACGTGGTCAACGGTGACCACTGTATTAGGCGTTTGCAACCACGTGGACGTGCTCACGGCTGCCCGGCTAGAGCTTTAATTGGAGTTCGCGGTATAGCGTCGGCGCACTTTAGAAGCAGGCGACTGAAACCTTAATCCAAGCACCGTTTGGATAGTTGTTGAGGAATTTCAGTTATGCCGGATCTGCTTGTTTTTCTATGCTCTGCCTTTGTATTCAAACCCCTCCATCTCAGCTGCCCACTAAACGGGCTATGTGGTAGGTGCACTGGACCAACACAGAGCCTGCTTAGCGCATAGCAGACGTTATTCGGATTGCGTTCCCATAACAAATGCGGAACATAGGGGAGGAGTACAGGTGTAGACTCAAGCACCAGCTACCCTTGGCCCTCATGGCACATCAACTTCATGCGATCTGACTCTGGCTTCATGGCTCCGGCCGCCTGCACTCGATCCCGCCTCCAGTCGCCTTGCCTTTGCCTTTACAGGGGGCATGTATAGGTGAGGGAAGAGAGAGTGTGATAGATGCAATGCAAGTCTTCTATCACTTTGAACGAATTCGCGCGTCATTTACCGCCCCTGCACCATCACGCTGTGGAGCAAACGGTGGACATCGTCAGAATTTGTAGTCTAACCTTCATTGGGGCGGTTAATCTCTTCTGTCATCCAGCCGCGTAAATAAATGCTGCACCCCTTCCACCCCTCCCCCTCATTGCCATACAGGGCCGACGCACCTCTCTAGGTGTCCGACATCACGGTACAGTGTTTTACGGTATGTTTTGCTCAAACTACTTATTTAATTTTAAGTTTAGTTTTTCATAGACCGGAAATACACCCACTAGGATACGAAAAAAATTACAGAAATTTAAGGGTGAAAAGTACCTAACTATTTAGATTATTATTATTCGAGGCATGAGATTTAGTACTAGTACGGCATAAGTACGACTCAAACAGCTTCAGTCACCTAAAGAAAAACCCCATAGATCAAGTAAAACATGACTTACAGTCCAACATTTGTTATTGTCCAATTGGATATTGCGTCGTTCACAAGGCCGTTGAGATTACTGCTCCAGCCGCGTGACACAGCAGCCACGCCTAGAATGTATTCCAGCAGAATTGACCAACCGGCAAGGAAGGCCGGCAGCTCCCCCAACATAATGTAGGCGTATGTGTAGGTTGAGCCGGCCTGAAAATGAGACGAGTTTTATTTTAACATACGTGAACTTATTAAAGAAAGAGTCATGCTGTGTCATGTAACGAGTGCCTGCAAGTGCCCACGTTGTCACATGTGCCTTCACCTTGTTTAATCTCGAAAT